GTAACACCGGGCGGCTCAATAGGAGGCTCTGGTCAGGCAGACCTGAGAGTTGAACCCACCGAAACCAGGTCAAGATCAAGATGATGATCTTGACCAATTGGGATGATTATGTGCGCTTATCTTTCCGCTAGAAAGCAACAAGGCCTAGTTTTTGTCCACCGGCAAAAGGGTAGTGAAAACTGCTTCATGGCAGAACTAAGAGTATAGAACAACCACCGAAACCGGTCAGAGGTATGTCACAGATGTATACTTGACCATTGTTGTATACAGCCGTTTATGCAGATCTCGCTTGAATTTATGGCCACCAAAAATGTCGCTCTTCTTTTTTTTGTCAGTGTTTCGATGAATTAAACATCTTGCATGGCCAATACCAAATTCTGTTTCAAAATCTAATGCAAGTCGATTCGAAGAAGCTGAGTGTAAACTCAGTGTTATGTGTAATGTTGAAGTTAACTGTAAATCCGTTACAAACAAGATTTTTAATTATAAAAAAAGAGGAATGTAAAATAGATGTTGAGTATAAGCTATGAGTTAAGAGCTAGTTATGTCAGTAACGAATAAGAAGGCAAAGACACAAGTTACAGGAAAAAGGTTTTACTGAGACAACAGTCCACTTTGTGTAGAGCTTTGTCGTAATTAAATTCAACACGCTGCTTCATCTAATAACGAGTGAACCGATTTCCAGAAAAGACAGCCACAGAATTTAATATAAATATTCTTCAATTCACTGTGGTGACAGAGAAGCAAAGATTAACGACCTTTTAATCCACATCAACACATTGTCTAATGCACCAGAAGACTTCAGAAAAAAACCAAGTTTAACAAATGAATTAAGAGTAACGAGTTCATTTGTACTTGATTGTGAAATTATATTAGAAATTTTGACCCCCTTCTCACGCAAAGCGTAATACTACGAGGCCGGCATACACACGGCATATTTAATATTGTAATGAGCGATTGGTAGGACAGAGTATAATTGATGACACATGGTGACTATTGAGTAGTGCTCGGTCCGTTAAGCTTGCGTCTCTTCCAGGGTTGACATCAAGCTCTTGGGAATCACCCGGAAATCCTTTGCATGTTACTATACTCATGGAGGAGTGGTAAGCCGCTAGCTTCATACATCGAAGGAATCAAGTTTGATTCAGGGAGGTAGAGCGAAGATTCAGTTCTTCTGGATACAGGAAATGCTGCACATAGCTAGAGGCTTTAACATGTAAGTTACATGAAAACCCACTTATTGTATTATCTATAAATATTTTCTAAAATTATTATTAATATCGTAAGTTTAACAATGAGAGGGTTCCATGTTTTCACCGCGTACTCCAATACTCGCCATACCTACAATATATACAATGATTAGAATACATTCTTGTCCAGATTTCTAAAATTTACACTTGTATTTACCGGCAGTGTGAATGCTACTGATGTTATCTTGTTTAAGCGCTACTCAGGTGAGAGGTTTGGTGGGCTGTCCACCCTGGGTCCTTTTTTCTTTACGATTCTGAACGCTTTTCTCTCAGGTGGTACTCTTCTTCTGGCCTACATCTTTATCTCATAACCTTTCATAAAATAGGACTGAATATCGCTTGTTTACCCATTCCTACACTTGTACAAGCCGTGTGTATATTCTCAGAGTTGTATTCATCAAGTTGTCTCTTTGGGCGACGCACTTCTCTGTCGTCTGGCGTACACTGATTCGTAGCCTCTTGGATCCAATCATATCTGCTTTTGCAATCGCGTGGAATTTTAACTGTCTCCAGATCATAATCTATTTATTGAAACGAAAATGCCACTGGATGATGAAGAGTTTTCGTAACAAAGATACCCAGGTGTTGCACACGAGTCATATTTATCTAGCTGTCGGTATTATATACCAGGAAAAATAACTAGCGATTATTGTATCAACCTCAGAGGTCCTAGACTCCTTAATTTTCTTCCAGTAGATGAAAGAAATGTTGACCGTTCAAAGTTAGATGTCTTAAAAAGGAAACTAGCTAAACAAGTTTCTGGAGGAGGGGGGTCAGATCAGCGGGGCTGTGATGACTATATGGGCCTGCTGGATGAAGTTACAAATAGCCTGGCTGATCAGGCGGTCAACGGGGAAGTCTGTCCACAGACCAGGTTGCAGAGAAGAAAAACTTCCGAAACCAGTCTCAGGTATTTCACACAGTTACATCGTCCCGTTCATTCCACTTTTTTTATCCCCTTTCGCTCGGAAGACACTGCATGGGCCCCCTACGAGTTTACCCATTTCCGTGAATATATAATAATTACGCTGAAGAAGTTTTGACTAACGTCCATGTAATCCCTCTCTATTCCAGAGAAGTAAGAGCTGAGTCCTTTCGTGGAAGCTCTTGTTCCTTAGTTCCTGAACCACTCTGGTCGTTCTCGACCTATGTTGTGTTACTTTAAGCAGGTGCGGGCGTAACACTGGTTCTCCATACTGGAGGATAGCTCTACCATGCTTTCAACGTTTTAGATAATCTTATACAGTTAAGGTTTTCCTGTTTATAATAATAATAATAATAATAATAATAATAATAATAATAATAATAATAATAATAATAATAAGAAGAAGAAGAAGAAGAAGAAGAAGAGGATCACATTGCCAGGACACATGGAGTGTATTTTCAGTTCCTGTTAAGTAGTAAAGTAAAATGAAGTGGATGTGGAATTGGAGGCAAACTGTATAATGCTAAATCATTATAATAATGTATAATATTGCGTTAATTTAATTCTAGCAAGTTTCGTGACAGGATTTTCCCTATCTGATTCCTTGCTGGTGTTTCATTATTAAACCTCGTTGCTCCAGATGGTCCACCACTATCTTATCTTTTTCACCATATGCATGTTAGAACATTCTCTGTTGTGGCTTTGAAGATCTGTACATCACTGGATGTCATCCAGCAGCGTGATAGCATTCCTGCTTATTTTACATACTTGCGAGTAACTTCTGTCCCTACATGAAGTCTACCTTGAGGGTGTTCCGGGGATCAACGCCCCCGCTGCCCGGTCCATGACCAGGCCTCCCGGGGGATCATGGCCTGATCAGCTAGGATGTTACTGCTGGTCGCATGCAATCCAACGTACGACCCACAGCTCGTGGTGATATGCTGTGGGGATTCACAGCCTTTTCTGTGTCTACGTCTCACAAATGTTACTTTACATCTTTTCTTATTTTCACACAGTTGCTCAGTTGTGATAAGACTGTATCTGCTCACCTATATTCAACGTCGGTCTTTGTTCTCTCACGGTATCCTTAGTGATTCTTCTATTTGCCTCTTACTACATCTTGACGTTTATCTGCAAGTCTTATTTTCTTTATTTCTCCTGATGTTGCTGTGGACCAGTTTTAATTTAGTTATTGCACTGTCTTCTTGGTTATTTTCATATTATCTTTCTTTGTTACTGATATACTTATTACCATCTCCTTAGTTAAATGTTTGTATTTGGGACAGTCACTGTGACTGCCTGTTTGTAGGTTTATGTCAGTCAGTGAGATTCTGTGTCACTATGACTGTCTGAGAGTATTTGTCTGTGTTCCTGTAACTGTGTGTGTGTCCGTCTCTTTGAGAGTGTTAAATGTCTATGTGCGACAGTCTGTATGTAATTACGTACCTACGTTGCTTCCGCACCCTCTCTCTCTCTCTCTCTCTCTCTCTCTCTCTTCTTTCTCTCTCTCTCTCTCTCTCTCTCTCTCTCTCTCTCTCTCTCTCTCTCTCTCTCTCTCTCTCTCTTCTCTCTCTCTCTCTCTCTCTCTCTCTCTCTCTCTCTCTCTTTCTCACTCTCTCTCTCATTCTCATTCCCAGAGGAACCTGTGTGTATCAGATCTGGCTACATCAATACTTGTGGTAGCTATTGCAACCTTTTACCTGACCGTCCTGGTTAATTTGCCATGTTACGTAAACCCTTAATGAAATTTTGTGTCGACAAATGTGAATGTATAATGGTTGGGGTACGTATATGTAAGTAAGAATGACCGAGTTAAGGGGTGGTATTGGATCCTGAGGACAATATAGTAATGCATACACGTTCACAAACGCTCATATAAATAAGTGAACACACGCACACAAACATACACACGCACACGCACATACACACACACGCACATACACACACACACACACACACATACACACACACAATATGAGCCAAGGAACTAAGGCTCTATTAACAGACAATAATTCCCTCATTATCTGTCAGCCTCTCACGTACTCTCCCCTCATCCTAACCCCTCGTTAACCTAGAGATAATACCTCGTTTCATTGGCTAAGTGACCTCGTTTTGTCCTCGAACACGAGTTAAGCCTCTTTAGGACTGTTCCAAATGAAGTGTTGATTACTCCTCTGTTGATTATCTAATTACTCTCGTCGATTATCCCTTTCTAGGCTTATCAATCACCTCACGCTATTTGTTGATCAATTAAAAATATGTCTATCTGCTAAGCCAATTTTTTTCAACCACAACTGTTGATCATTCTAATGTCAAGTATTTTTCATTCTTAATGTTCCGTCTTTCCACTATAACTATATCATTCCACTACGTTCAAAATTTCATAAATTCATGAAATCAGTACCTTTACCACACACGAGTTGACGTATATTTCCAACTATGAACATTAACAGCCTATTACATAAAAGGTATGAGGCACAGGTGTTGAAGGCTTCCATCTTGAGTGATGAAGGCTTCCTCATTTGTTGGAGAGCCAACTCACCCTCCTCCTCCACCTCCTCCTCCTCCTCCTTTATTTATCCTCTCTCTCACTCTCTCTTCCTATATTTTGCCCTACTCTGTAACCCTTAGTCTTCATCTCTTTCATCCCTGTCTTTCTGCCTCTCCCTTATGCTTTACTATCCTATAATCAACTATCTATATATAATTAACTAAACTGAAACAACCTTTTCTCAACAGGTATGATTTTTTCTGCATGTAAACTACGAGGTTATCTGCTATCAGACTTTCAGATGTTCTTTTGCTGCTGACTGTGTCCGTCTTACCTGTGTGTTGGGGGTGTGGCCCCGGTTGTTGTAGGTGATGGAGAGGAACGAGAGGGTTCATCAGCGAGGAGCCTTGGACCCCAGCCTGACCCAGAGGTATGGTTAGGATTGGCTGCACCGCGATGCCTGTGGAAAACGAAAGATGGAGAATGAGAGAAATTTAACCATTCCTCTTGTTTACAGTTGTGGAGAAATGTTATCACAGTGATGGAATTAATATTAATCTTATATGAAAATCTAAACTTGTGTTAGTCATTCAGTAAAAGTGACGGAGGTGCGATCCTCCTCTCTGCAAATCGCGGGAAAGATTAGTTTGATGTCACTGAGCTGTCTAACGGTGAGGGATTTTGTTTTCAGATTTAAACAAAAAAAAAATAAAATAAAATTAGTAATGTAAAATGTTGTTAAAGTGAAAAACATACGCTTGCTAGTACAATAAAAAAAACTGATAATAGTAATGGAAGAAATGTGAGGAAAAAACTGTGTATTCATTATTTCTAATTGACGGAACTGCTTTTCAGTGTTGAAAAAAAAAAACTTTAGTGATGGAAAGCTTTAGTGATATAAACAAGCTTAAAACTACGACTAGATAGACAAAATAGATGAAAGATAGTATCTTCGTATATAAAGTTTCCTAGAGCAACAGAGAAAAATCTTACAAAGTGCAAAAAAATAAACTCTGAAAGTGATTAAGACTCTTACTGTTAGAGAGACAATGTTTTAACATCACTGAGAAAAAAATAATAAGAAATTATTGAACAATGACCATATTACCACTATAGTGCTAGAAACTGAGATAATATTATTTCAGAAACATTTTTTTTTTCAATAAATACCATTGATAAAACAAAAAAACATACAAATTAAACTACTGCTGAGACAAAGAATATAAACAGAAAGGGATGATATAATTCATTAACGATAAATGGTAAACCTCGAGGGAGGTACCTAAAAGGACCTGCTCCACCTGAGGGAAAGAACCTGGAGGTTGTTGACCTCCAGAAAACACCTGGGGGCTGCTAACCCTGGGGGACTACTAATATTTGAGAGTTACTACTGGGGAAACTGTTAATATTGGAGAGTTACTACAAGGAAACTACTAACCCTGGGGAACTACTATCATTGGAGAGTTACTACAAGGGGATGTACTAACCCTGGGGAACCACTATAATTGGAGAGTTACTACAGGGGAAACTACTAACCCTGGAGACTGTAAACACTGGAGTTACTACAAGGAAACTACTATCCCTGGGGACTAACACTGGGGAATTTGTTACACCGGAAACTACTAATCCTGGGGGTCTACTAACATTGGAGAGTTACTACAGGGACACTACTAACCCTGCGGGACTAGTAACATTAGAGAGTTACTACAAGGGAAAACTACTAACCCTGGGGGACTAATAACACTGAGTTACTATAAGGGAAACTTCTAATCTTGTTAGAGGAATTACTAACCCTGGGAGGTGGGGACGAGGAGCTGAGCCCCCTGGACCCCCTGGGTCACGTGGCCGGAGGTCAACACCATCTGAGGGACCGTCGAAGCATTATTGGCTGCCGCTGTGTTGTTGATTCCTCCTGGAGGAGGCGGCGCCGCCGTCGCTACCGTCGCCGCCGCCGCCGCCGCCGCCGCCGCCGCAGCTGCACGGTAGAAGACAAAAAAAAAAAAAAAGCATAAATAACACGAAGTGCAGTTGTTAGTAAAAAATTAAGAAATTATTCCTTTATTATTTTTAATCCCATTGGCTATTTACCTCAAAGTTAGGATGAGCCAAAGAAAAAGGTACATTCACCATCACTTGCCCAACAACTGCTTTGCCAGAAGTGGGCGAACATCACATTTTTAACGATTCTATGATCTGTCACCTGTTACAGATAACACGTCGGTTCATGACGTTACGGCCATGAAAGACAGGATAAAAGTGGGGTTTTAAAAATTAAGGTTGAAAAACTGAAAATCCTTGAAAACTGCGATGAAGCATCGCGTCAACAGAGATGAAGTCATTAACAGAAGTGCCATAAAACTAAGCCGTCGCACCTAACTTTATGAGGAATTATGTCATGACAGGTGTAGGTCCTACAAGGTAGGATCATGAACATCAAAACCCTGCAAGCTGGGACAATAAAAACTAAGACTTTGCATGTTGGGATTATGAAAGCTCAGATCTTGCAAGCTGGGACCGTGAAAGCTAAGACCCTGCAAACTAGGACCATAAAAGCTCAGATCTTGCAAGCTAGGACCATGAAAGCTCAGACCATGCCCGCCAGCGTGGCGGGAGATTCATCTGTAAAAACTTGCATTCGTGGTTACAGTGGGACCCATGCTAACCTGCCTACGGTGATAAATATACCTAGTTGGAGGAATCGTATTGTAAGCAGCTGGCCCAGTGACTTACGCACTGGCCTGGACTTTTACGACTCACTTGCTGCGAATTCAAGCCCCACCCGTACAGTGGTTAAAAGCACAGAACGAGTGGGACTCGAACCCATGGCAAGAAACTCTCCTGTCATGGGTTCAAATATCCCCCTTTCTGTGATTTAATTTGTGAAAGCTGTGGGTCACGCATGATAAGGTTATGGAAAATAAAACACTTAAAATTGAAGAAGTTATGGTTATCAATGAGCACTTCGAGATTAATGCAAATAAATTTTTAAGATATGCTGAGGACCCTCAAGATTATGACTTTGAAACATAATTTAATTTTCATTTAATGACTGATGTAAGTCCTAAAATAATAATATTGGGGGTCAGTAACTCAATGAACCTTTGAATCTGAAGTCATGGAAGCCTTGGGCTCTGTCATTTCAGATCAAGAAAGTCATGGATCCAAGATTCTTAAACAGTGAAAGACACTGACCCAAATATCTGAGCTCATAAAAGTCTTGACCATTAGAAGCTGAGGTTATGAAAGCCACAAATTCTAGAATCTCAGATCATGAAAGCCATTAGCACTAAAATCTCAGATCATTGGCACTAAAATCTCAGACACTGAAAGGCATGGGCCCTAAAATCTCATACCATGAGAGCTATGAGGCACTAAAATCTCGGGTCACAGAAGCAATAGGCACTAAACTCTCAGATCATGAAAGCCATGGATCACTGAATGTGAGGTCATAAAAGTAAGGAACCCTCGAATCTGTGTTAGGAAAGCCGGATACTCTTGAACATGAGGACATGAAAATCAGAAATCTAGAATCTGAGGTTATTAAACCCTTGAATTTGAGAACACGAAAGTCAGGAATCCTCGAATCCGAGGTCAGGAAAGTCAGGAACCCTCAAATCTGAGGTCATGGAAGTCATGGACCCTAGAATCATGCGAGGCGCTCGCTCAAGGACAAACATTTCGCTGGGTCTGACATCAATTTATTGTTGGCGTCTATAAAAGAGATTCTCACTGTGGAAGAACTAATTACTGTATATTTTATGAGCAGGATATAGCAGCTTAATATGTTAAGCAGTAATGGTGATTATAAGCTCATGATGGGAGGGGGGAGTATTTTATATGTACTCACCAAGTAATCAAGGTTATAAAAGCGCAATTTGCATTGATTAACCACTGATATTCCGATTACCTGTCTCGTTATTCATTATACATGCAATTCTCGCTTTGAAAACCCGGTTTATTCGTTCTCGGATGCATGTTCAAGCTAAGGTGAAGGTTTGAAGGTGTGCCTAGGTCCATGAGGGAATCTACACTCGTTTCAGGTGCACTGGGGCAGATATACTTTTTGTGTGTGTATGCGGAAGCGCTAAATCCATCGGGGTTTAACAGCCCCTGGGGAATGCAAGGTAATCAAGTTTAATTTAAGAAAGTGGAGGGTAGCACCAGCACCCTGGTTCAAGAGGCCTTCACCAGTAACAAGGAAATTCCTCTGAATGGTGCTGGAGGTGTAGGTGTATTCAGTTGCACAAGGGCATACTTAATTAGGTGTAGGTATACTAAAATGGCCCAGGTTGTAGTAGGATATGAGTACATGTATTAATTCACCTCAGCCGAACTGTGGCAAGTGCCGGCGTACTAAATTCAGCAAGGTTGTACTAGAGCAGATGTGCGAATCTGACTGCATCAAGGATGTACTGGGACTGGCGTAGTCGTTGATCCACTGGGGCATGTGTAGGTGTACTAGCTTTACCCTCATGGTACTGAGGTACGCGTTAGTTACCTAATTACCTAGAATGTAGTGGGGCCCATGTGGGTCACCTACTCACCTGGGTTATGCTGTGCTAGGTGAGGGTGGAGTAGGGACCCGACGCCGGGAACTCCCAGACCTCCCTGAAGGCCGGCTAGTGCTGCCATCTGCGTCTGCAGGTTCTGCTGCAAATTGTGGAAGTTCTGGAGGTTGTGGAGATTGTGGAGGTTGTGGAGGCCGTGGATGGCGTGGTGGAGGCTAGCCAAGCCCGCCCCAGGGCTCGACGCCCCGTGTCCCGGCGCCATGGTGGGTGCTGGTGACGCTGCTGTAGGTGGTGATGGTGGAGGAGACACGCCACCTGCTGGGGCAAAGGAATATTGGTTACTGGAGAAGATAGTGTCAAGGGTGTGGTTTCTATTGTGGTGATGGTGGCGATAGTAATAGTAGTAGTAGTAGTAAGTAGTAGTAGTAATAGTGGTGGTGGCAGTGGCCCTACTGGCAGATTAAGAATCTTTATTTTAAATTATTAGAAATACAAAATATACAGTAATCAGAAAACCAGTAGGAAGCTCAGCACTGGTAGTGATGGAAGTGGCCTTAGTGGCGGTGGTGGAAGTGGTGGGGTGGTGGTAGTTCTGGTATAGGGTAGTGGTGGAGTTCTGGTAGTAGGGTAGAGGGGGGAAGTTGGTGGTAGTGGAAATGGTGGTAGTGGAAGTGGTGGTAGTGGAAGTGGTAGTAGAAATGGTGAGTGGTAGCGGTGTTGGTGTTGGTAGTAGTAAAGAAAGTAGTGGTGGTGGTAGTAGTAGGGTAGTGGTAGAGGTTAGTGACGGTAATAGTGGGAGTGGTAGTGGTAGTAAAGTAGTGGTAGTTGGATAGTGGTAGTAGGGTAGTGGCAGTAGGGTAGTGGTAGAAGGGTAGTGGTAGTAGGGCAGTGGTAGAAGGAGTGGTAGTTGGTAGTGTATGGTATGGTAGTTGGGTAGTGGTAGTGTGTGTGTAGGGTATGGTAGTAGGGTAGTGGTAGAAGGGTAGTGGTAGAAGGGTAGTGGTAGGAGGGTAGTGGTAGCAGGGTAGTGGTAGGTAATGGTAGTTGGGTAGTGGTAGTAAGCTAGTGGTAGTAAGCTAGTGGTAGTAGGGTAGTGGTAGTTAGGTAGTGGTAGTTGAGTAGTGGTAGTATTGTAGTGGTGGTAGTTGGGTAGTGATAGCAGCGTAGTGATAGCAGCGTAGTGATAGTGGTAGTGGTGGCAGTGGAAGCAGTAGTGTAAGTGGTGAGTGGTACAGGTGGTGGTAGGGGTGGCAGAGGGTACTATAAAGAACGAAACAATTACACAGTAAAGTGAGACAGGCATAAACCCACTTCAGATTGGAAACAAAAAAATGATGTTGCCGTAGGATTTACTAACACCATACACCTTTCTGCTCCCCCTCCCCACCATCATCCTTACCCCTACCTCCTTCTCTAACCCCCCACCATCTTACCTCTTCTCGAGGCCCCCTTCCTACTCTTCCCTCTTGCCTCAACTCCACCCGTAGCTGCTATTAATGCAGGAAACTGTGCTTTTTGACACTGGCAGTCAGCCCAGAGGCCTGGAGCAAATTGCAGCATTAATGAATGCATTGTCGGCAGCCTTGGTATCTGTGACTCCCTTCCCAACCCTCTACTATTCCATGTCTCCTTACCCGCTTTCTCCTCCCATTCCAAATCATCTCTGATTCTCATTCCACTTCCATTCTCACCTTATTTGCTTTCCACTCTCCTCACATTCCCACTCTAGTTACATTCTTACTCTTCCCATCTCCACTCTCTTTTATTTTCCATTCCGTTTCCTTTCCCCTTTCTTTTTCTTTTATTTCATCTCTTGTCCCTTTCCTCCACCCCTTTCACCTCCTCTCCCTCCCTTCCTTCTCTCTCACTCCTCCTCCAGTTCTCCCTTCTCTCCCTCACCCCCCAGCAACGCCAACAAGGACGCCACGCCAATTATATACCAGGCAGTAATGACTATAATGATGGTGATTATGATGATGATGATTATGATAATAGCAGCTGCAGCGACGGTGACAGGTAGGTGTGTGTGACCTTACCTGTACCTCCACACTTATATATGACCACCCATGTATATATGTCCATCCATGTATAGTATATTTATTGACCCTTGAAATATATATATATATATATATATATATATATAATATAATTATATATATATATATATATATATATATATATATATATATATATATGTGTGTGTGTGTGTGTGTGTGTGTGTGTGTGTGTGTGTGTGTGTGTGTGTGTGTGTGTGTGTGTGTGTGTGTGTGTGTGTATGTGTGTGTGTGTTAATAAACAGAAGAACTGATGGGGACCCGAGCCGTGTGCATAAAAGTTCCAGTGCTGTAACCACTTGGTCACAATAATTTCAAAAAGAGTGATTTTTACAACCAGCATTTCTGTGATTTTGTTGTATCAGCGACACCAACTGTAACACAACTGTCTCATCACGAGGCACCCCTACACACATATGTCCTGTCGAATTGGAAAAACTTGCGATTTTGGCTTAAATAGCAACGTTCTTCTTGCCGAATAAGGCAAGCGGAAATTTGTGCATGCAATAATTTCACAAAAATCATTATGAACCTATCGAAAAAAATATATTTCATTGTGCTTGTTTATTATTAAATTATTGTAAACTTATCTGAAATATTTTTAGTTGGTTTTGGTTAAATTAAATTGCGCTTGTTATAATAAGGTTATGTAAGTTTTCTAAGGTTGTTTTGGTACAAAATTATTAATTTTTACATTAACCTGAATGAAAAAATATATCTTGAAACGAATAAGAGAAAATTTTATAAAGAACTTAATTTTAAATGAGTTCTTGCTAATTGTCCAGTTTTACCTATTCGGCATTATATATATATTATATAATATATATATTATATATATATAATATATATAATATATATATATATATATATATATATATATATATATATATATATCCAGAACAAGCAACATGGGGATGGAAATCTTTAGCTCAAGATCTTTCGCATCATTTTGCGTTCTCAGAAGCTGTGCAATGTTACAAATCTAGCAACTCAGACATGACATTGGTCGACACATATACCTTGCCTCTGAGAAAATTTTTCCTTCCAATCTGTTGCTTCAACACTGCATAGCTCCTGACGATGCACAAGAAAGCGAGAGATCTTGAGCTAAATGTTTCCATACCCATGCAACTTATTCTGCAATGTTTGCAACTATGTTATATAATATATATATATATATATTATATATATATATATATATATATATATATATATATATATATATATATATATATATATATATATATATATGCGTGCGCTTTGCTCAAATAAAGGTTTGTTCTTTTTGTTCTTTTGCGCGTTGAGAATTCCTTCAGTACATAGTATTCTCCCTAGCTTCATCCAACCTCCTGATAAACCCTATCCTTATCCACCCTTACGCCTCATCTGCCCTATGTGATAAACTAACCCTGATTTACCCTCTCAATCGCCGAATCGTAAAGTGTTTTTCTCCAATCTGCTCCCTCATTAATGCTTCAGTCTGATGTACACGCCTATTAACAGCCATGACCCACTGCCACAATCATTAAAAACTAGTTAATCTGATCCCAACCAGGTGATAGTAGGTGTGACTCGCCTGCTAATTTCATTCTTCGATAATTTGTTGACATGGTTCGTATTTATGCAAAGTCGGGCTTGCTTACCCAGGGATTATTTTTGTGGTGCTTAGTTTGGTTACCCAGGAAATGTTTATGAAGTGCTGGGGCTGGTTGTCCTGATAGTATTTCTGGTTGTCGGCTTCGGCTATCCAGGTAATACTTATGGTTTCGGGTTCAGCTGTCCAGGTAGTGTTTACGTTTCCGGGTTCAGTTGTTCAGGCAGTGCTTATGTTTCAGGGTTATGTTGCCTACTTAGTGCTTATGTTTCAAAGTTCTGTCGTACAGGTAGTGCTTACTTTTTTCGGGTAGTGTTTTTGATTGTCGGGTTTGGTTATCCAGGTAGTGTTCTTGGTTTCTGGGATCGATTATCCAGGAAGTGTTCATAGTTTCCAGGCTCGTTAATCCAGGCAGTGTTCATGGTTTTCGGGTTCGGTTATCGTGGCAGTTCATATGGTTTCTGAGTTATCCATGTAGTTTTCATGATTTCCGGGTTTTCCAGGCAGTTCACATGGTTTCCGGGATATCCAGGCACTTCTCATGGTTCCGGATTCAGTTATCCAGGTACTGTTTCTGTTTGTCGGGTCCACTTGTCCAAGCTGCAATAATTTCTCCATCACTTTTATTTAGTAAATAATTCCTCTGTTTACACATTTCGCTCGATGGAATGCGTTCCTTCTGTTATGACTCTCCTAATCTGTTTGAAATTTTATTCAGATGTTGTTGTAGGTATATGATGTGTAGTTAAAACCAATAAGCACGAAGAAACGCACGCAAACACGCAAGCGTTTTAGTTCAATGGTTAAGGGCGTTCAGCTCGCAACCAAAAGATCTATAGGTTCGAAAACCCGGGTAGGACACAAGAGGCAATATTTCAATGCCTGCTGCCCCCTAATCGTCCAGTAATAAATAGGTACCTGGGTGTTAGTCGACTGTTATAGGTCTCAATCTGTGGAGAAAAAATATTTAAAAGCCTAAGTAAATTGCTAATTATTCCCATATACTTAACAGACAAGTGAATAGTGAACAGCAACAGACAACAGATAGTGAAGAGATTGAAGAAAGGAAAGCTGAAATGGAGGCAACTAAATCGAATCATGGGATACATAGGATATGCAGAGGGAGAATGAAAGTTGAAGGGGAAACCTATGAAGCAAGAAGACAAGGGGAGAAAAATAGTTATTGAAAGCATCATGAAAGTAATAGGAGATGACCAGGGCTGTGGTGTAAGCTTGTCACAGGGAGGCTGTGATCCCAGCCAAGTAGAACAGAGTTTTATGTGTTGTCCCATAGAAATGGGAGGTGTTAGTCGTGGTGGTCGCATCTGGGAACGACAAGGAGGGAAGACCCCAGAACCCATAGCTGTCAAATTTTCTAAGAGTAGGGGGGTTTGCAAGAGGAAGAAACCAGCCCAAGTGATTTTCAAGGCAGGAACGACTCGAAACAGATCCTGCAGAAGAAATCACAACTAAGGGACATGTTGATGTACTGGAGGGTGTATCTCAACCACAACAGAACATGAGAAGAAGGGCAGAAATTGAAAGAGAGGGTACAAAGACGAAAGGAGGAGAGAGAGGCAAAGATGGAGATGGACAGGAGAATTCAGACTCAGGAGGAAGATCAAATACAACCTCCCTCACAACCACCTACAGAAACCCTCCAACCC